TCCTCCCACAGAAGACCGTGCCTGTGTTCCATCATGCTGGGTGCCAGGCTCTGCCCCCACAGGAGACAGTGCTTGTTCTTCCCCATGGTGGGCACCGAGCCCCGTCCCCCAGCCCCCTCCCTCCCTCCCCCTGGGGTCTCTTGGGGCCAGGCACCCCCTGCGGGCTAAGGCAGGGTAGTGCAGGGCCTGGTGGATGTGATAGGAGCTGGCAGGGAACCCAGTCCTGGACTGAGGCCCCAGTTGGAACCATTTGGGTGCTGGGCCTGTATTGGGAGTTGCTTTGGTTTCGTGGTGGGGGGGCGGGCACTGCCTGTTATGACTGCCGTTCCGTCTTGGTAATGAGGGAGACAGGGCAGAGCTGGACACACTGTACAGCTCCTGGCACCGCCATGGGGGTAGAGCCCAGTAGGGCCCCAACCCCCGGGGTCAGGGAGGCAGCAGCCTTGTCCTCCCAGTCTTGGAGATACTTGTGTGTTGCAGGGGGTGGGGAGATTCGGGACCCGGATGCCTGGGTTATATCCTAGAAGGGGATCAGGGTGCGTGGTGGGGAGAGAGCAGGCAGGGAACAGGTGTGAGTTGGGAGCCTGGACAACTGAGTTTGAGAGGGGAAGGGGATTGGGGCAGTAAGAGAGGATTTGGGGGTCCAGATGAACTGGGTTCATTCTCTGATCTGGCAGGGGTGGGGGCCTGGATGCCTGGGTTCTCTTCAGCTTTGGGAGAGCAGTGAGTCTTTTTGGGGTTGGAATTGGGGGGTTGCTGGGAGCCTGGATGCCTGGGTTCTGCAGGAGGGTAGTGAGGCCTGGGGGGTAGAACTGGGGGCTGGAAGTCTGGTTGCCTAGGTTCTCTGGGAGGAGGGTGGGGGCTGAGGGATTAGAATGGTGGGGCCTGGAGCTTGGCTGCATGTGTTCTCTCTCTGCTTTAGGAGAGCAGTGGGGCCTGATGATGAGTGCCAGGGCTGGGATGTGCTGTGGACTGGCAGGGCCCTGGGTCATGGGGTAGTGTGGGGTTGGGGTAGGGTTGGGGTCCCCCGCGCTCTCTCCCTTCTTGTCTCTCCCTCCCCAGAAGCGGCTGCTGCCAGGGCCAGTGGCGGTGGCGGGGCCAGTGCCAGGGCTGGTGCCAGGGCCGGGGCGGAGCGGGGGCGTGGGCGGCCCAGGGCCCCGCAGGGCCTGGAGGAG